AGGGGGCACAGGCCCTCCAATTGCCTTGATTTCATTATCAGCTAGAAACTCCCCTATTCCCTGTGCTACTGACTCCCCCAGCCCTCCCTCCCTCTGCGGAGACACTGGCTCAGCCTTAACCTTCCCGGGCAGGCGGGGCAGGGGTGGAGGTGGTCAGTCACGTCTCAGGACCCGCCTGTGCTCACACCCAGACATCAAATGCCAGCGCCCAGGGTCTCCCTCGGCCACGGCGGCTTAGCTGGGTGTGCAGTCCCTGAGGAAATAGGACGTCCTCCAAACTATTTGTCCAAAGAGAAATGTCCAAACCCTCCCAGATTACAGCAACGTAAGAAAACCCCTCTAACGACATTGACTAAGCAGCAAAACAAAACCAGTGTCCCCACTCAAATAGGGACCCACCCTATGAGCTCAAGTCCCGCGGGTGCTGGGGGCCGAGCGCATCCGTGTCAGAGGACAGACCGCAGCTGAGAGGGGGCTGCCGTCCCCAGAGAGCCTGGGGCTGAGCAGCGGCCTTACTGACCAAGCGTGAGGACTGCCTTCCAGGAGGAGGGTGCGGCTGCTGGATGGGAGGAGGGTGCGGGTGCTGGGTGGGAGGAGGGTGCGGGTGCTGGATGGGAGGAGGATGCGGGTGCTGGACGGAGGGGAAGGAAGATGCGGCAAGGGTATCTGGGCCTGCAGCAGAACTCTGCTCCCCAGGATGCACTCAAGAGCAAAGGCGGGTCCTTAGAGACAAGGCTAAGGTCATCCACACCCCTGTGTTACCAGTGACACCATGTCTAGGACAGAGGCAAAGAGGGCTGACAGGAGAAACGGATGCATCTGAAACAGGTTGGAGGACAGCTCTACGGTGCCCTGGACGCCAGCGAGGTGAGCTAGTGGGTCCCAGAGCAACGGAAGTGAATATCCCGGGAGCCAAATGACCAAACTATGAAGACGCCCCACTCAGGCACATCATGAGGAGGCAGGGTTCTTTGGAAAAAGTAAAATGCTGAGAAACTATAAGGCAGCAGGAAAAGAGGGAAGCCAAAATGAGAGGGACTGACTCCATAGAAGACGCCCCTGGCATGAGTGTAGGACCTGAGCCCGGCTGCTGTGGAAGGGGGCTTGGGGGTACGGCGCTCACTCACAGGGTCGCCAGGAGGGGGCGCCAACTCAACGGCACACAGCACACAAGCTCCCTCCTTTCTTAGGAAGGAAATTCTCAATATTTAGCCGGTACAGGAACCAAAGGGTGGGAGTAGAAATAGGAAAACAGGATTTTTAGAAACCTTATAATAAAGATCTATAACTGCCAGGCCGGTGTGGCTCAGTGGTTGAGCTTCGGCCTATGAACCAGGAGGTCATGGTTCCATTCCTGGGCAGGGCACATGCCCAGGTTGTGGGCTCGGTCCCTGTGCGGGGCATGTAGGAGGCAGCCGATCCATGATTCTCTCTTATCATTGATGTTTCTATCTCTCTCTCCCTCTCCCTTCCCCTCTGAAATCAATAAAAAATATATATATTTTTAAAAAGCTCTACATCTAATTTAAATTTCGCTTCTAGTCCAGTCCATAGGAAAGAGCCACTCAGCTGCCGCAGGAGCCGTGTACATAGAGAGAAACAAGCGTGGACAGAACCCGGTCCGGCCTGGAAACCCTTCCCGCCCAGCGAGCTGACCCACGGATGAGATGCCGTGTAATCATCGTAAACATGCGGAGACAGCAACGCTCCCACACACGCTGATGACAGCGTTTGACTCGGTTCCAGCGATGACCCCAGGCACTGAAAGATGATGTAGGAAATTAGTGGACACATGTGAAGCACATAAAAGCCGTGTCTGGGAGATAAAAGCTTTCACTACATGTTGGCTATTATTACTGCTATTATGACCACAATGCACTGTGTTTCCATAAGGGTGGCTTATGTAGGATCAAATATAACACTAGCTGTAGAAACGGTTTTGGTCTTATGCTTAGGAAGTAATAAGCCAAGACTGTTGAACCTCAGAGGGAAGGCAGGGGAGGGAGGGTGGGTGGGAAGAGCTCAACCAATGAACTGGTGTGCATATATGCATGACCCACAGACACAGACAATGAGGTGGTGAGGGGGCGGGAGCGGGCTGGAAGAGTTTAATGGGAGTATCTACAGCATACTTTCAACAAAAAAGATTTTTTAAAAAAAGTAGTAAGTCATATGTTTCGCTTGTGGATCTTGTAGTTCTTTTGTGGACAATTCTGGCACTTAGGTGACCTCTTCAAGTTCCTCCCCTTGAAAAAGGCGACGGCCCCCGGGGACTTCTCCCCAGGCTCTCGGCCTCGGGTTACAGGGAGCCACCACCTCCAAGGGTAAGTCTTGGTGAGCGGCAACTACCTCTCAGGGTCTGCTCTGAGCCCAGCAGAGGGTCAGCCATCAGCCATCAAAGCCAGACCACGCAGGAGGAGAAACAGAAAATATTTGTAAATGCCCCGGGAAGAGTTAAAATATTTTTCTTTCATAAAAACAGAAAGTCTTAATCCTACAGAAGTTTCCGGCTCCACTGTCATCGAGCTCAGCTCTACACGTTTACAGAGCCACGCTGCGTAGACAGGATTCTTATTTTTTTATTAAAAGTTCAATATCAAAAAGAGCTTACCCATATCCAGGGTCCCTAAGCAGTGTGTTCGCATGGCATTATTTTCCATCCTAAACACAGGCTCCCCTGGGTGTAAGGAACCCCGAGCGCCCGATCGATCGATCGCACGGAGCCTGGGTCCGCACACCCCAGCAGGGCCCACATGCATCCTGGTAACCGCTGCCCGCCACACGAGCACACAGACCATTATTCCAATGTTTCGAGATCGTCCAACATAAAGTAATCTTCCCTTATGTCCCCGGAAATACCGAAAAAGCTCTGGGAGTGCCAATGTTTTTCCATCCACGTTCTACTTTCCCAAATCTTGTGTTAAATGACAGGTCTTGATTTTTTTATTTTTTTTTTAGAAGATGTAATTATAATGGGTCACACTCTCAATATAACAGACTGCTCATTTGAGTAACAAAAGATTATCACAGGTTTGTAAAGCAAGTAGGACTGTTCCACCTAAAACAGGGGTTCTCAACCTGTGGGTCGAGACCCCTTTGGGGGTCAAAAGACCCTTTCACTGGGGTCGCCTAAGACCATCAGAAAACACATATATAATTACATATTGTTTTTGTGATTGATCACTATGCTTTAATTATGTTCAATTTGTAACAATGAAAATACATCCTGCATATCAGATATTGACATGACGATTCATAACAGTAGCAAAATTACAGTGATGAAGTAGCAACGAAAATAATTTTATGGCTGGGGGTCACCACCACATGAGGAACTGTATGAAAGGGTCACAGCATTAGGAAGGTTGAGAACCACTGCCCTAAAAGAACAGGCATCTTCTCTACTTGGGGGGGTGGGGGGGGATGGCGGGAGGGGAGAGATGGGAACACGGTGGGGAAAGTACCTATGACAACACAAACAGCTCAGTGAACAAGAACTGTGGTTACCGCGGCTCATATCCCCTTCCTACTGCTCCCCCATTCTGTCAATTCCCCACGCCAGCGATGGTCACCCGGGGTGCTGCAGGAACTCTTAAACATGCCACACCTGACTATTTAGTCGGGGGCACGGACCGCTTTTCCCTTAGGTCCGTGGTCGGCAAACTGCGGCTCTCAAGCCACATGGGGCTCTTTGGCCCCTTGAGTGTGGCTCTTCCTAAGCCTTAGGAGTACCCTAATTAAGTTAATAACAATGTGCCTACCTATATAGTTTAAGTTTAAAAAATGTGGCTCTCAAAAGAAAGTTCAGTCGTTGTCCTGTTGATATTTGGCTCTGTTGACTAATGAGTTTGCCGACCACTGCCTTAGGTTGTCAAATAAAAAATGACAACAGCCAACACAACAATAGGCGTCCGATGTGAATGAATAAAAATCATACCTATTGTTCTGTGTCAAATCAGCGAAAACCACATCGTGTGCCGCAGATTTTAGTAACTAGCTTGTGTGCGCCGTGAGGGGAAAAAGGTTGGAAATCGCTGCCTTACGAATGCTTTTCCTGCAGCCTCTATACTCAGCAAAGCTGCCATTTCCATGACTTTGAGAATGAGGGTCAAGAAATCCTAACGTCACCGTTTGATATCAACATGCTATCAAATTCCAGAAGTTACTGAGAGGCCAAATATTCCCATATGTTCCATACACTGAATTATGCAGCTAACCATGCAATCTAACAGGGGGAAGTGTCTGAAACCGGGGATCTGGGGTTTTTTGGGGGGGGATCTTACATTCCTTACATTTTAGTCCCATGTTGAGGGAAGATGCTTTTCTTATTCACTCCCTCCATAACCCTACTTGTTAAACTATCTCAAAATAAGAGCATTAATTAATACTGACTAATTTGGGAGTTTAAACAAGTCCTTTCATCTGTTTTCCATTTTTTAACCTTTAATCAATGTCCAGGAAACAGAAGGAACTGAAAGGAAAATTTTTAATAAATGTCGAACATCCACGTGGGATTACAGAGTGCTCCAAAAATGTCTTGGGCAGGAACGCAGCGAAGTACAAAGCTCCGATCTGTTTCAACTGAACACAGCTTACACGTCGTGCAAACCTGCTCTGCTGACAACCCCGCAAAGGACGTCAACTAAATGTTTAACGCCGGTGCCAGCAACGCGAAAGCGAAACGATAACTTGAACAGCAATGCCACCTGTTAAACGTGTCTTTTCATAACGTGCTTTTCCCCGAGAACATTCTGAAAGGCCTGATTAAAAAAAGGGTCACGGGCACAGAAACCACCCATGCTTTAGAACGCAAACCTGTGATCCAAGAGCTGCACTTCATTTCTCTTCCTGCATCTGGAGTCTTCTGGGACAGGGCAACGCCTGCCTTCCTGACGGGATGATGGAACGTTCTAGTTCTATGCGCCTATCCCTTCTCCCCAGCGCTGGCTAGAGGGAACGAACCTTCGCACAGTAGGACTCATCTGCACAGGGACTCCACTTACCCGTCCAGAAGATTCATGGTGGAGGACGTCACTTCAGCAAACAGAATTACTTTCCCCAGTTGCTTTGTCTGCAAGTTTTGCCGGTAGATCTCCAAGTCAAAATGTGCGGACGAGAAGGCCGTCGCGTCAGTCACCACGGGGAGAGCCGCTGGGGTGACCTCTATTTCAGGCGTGTAGGATGGGACAAAGGTGAGGGAGAGCTTGCTGGATTTTATCACTCCTCCAGCATCCACACATCTCTCCAGCCACCGCAGGAGAGGGTCCCGGATTTCCTGCGTCGTAAAGAAAGAAATGGGAAGGTCGTAACGCGGCATTACGTTAGGCGAGGGTAGCTTTTCCTTAAGATGGCACTTAGGTCGCATAAGCACGTCTAAGTCATGACCAATAAACGCTACCTTTGCGTGTTCTGGACGCTGGAACGATGATCCGACAGGCAGTAAGGACGCTGAGTGTGCTTAAACCACAAAAATAAACGGCTAGAAACCAGGATCCAGGAAATGAGTAGAGTCCTCACACTTTCTACCCTAAATTCTCCAAAGCCCTCTCCAGCTCTCGGGCTCCTTAGGAATCCTCCACCTCCCACGTTCCCCCACGAGGACACGCGTTCTCCCATGGGGAGAGAACCCAGCACCCAGGTGGAGGCGGCCCCGGGGAGCCGGCACTGAGGCGCCGAGAGCCGTCGGCTCAGCCTCCGAGCACAGTCCTGCCCGCTGTCTCGTGGGCATGCACTCTGTGGAGGAAGAAGACAGAATGAATGAATGAATGACGGGCACAGGTAATGGACTGAAGGCTGGTGTCCCCCCAAATTCTTATGTTGAAATCCTAACCTCCAAGGCGATAGCACTGGGAGGTGGAACCTTGGGGAGGGGAGTAGTCATGTGGGTGGAGCCCTCCTCAATGGGGTTAGTGCCTTTATGAAAGCCCCCAGGGCGATCCCTCACCCTCTCACCAAGGGAGGGCACAGCGACCAGACGGCCGTCAGCAACCTGGCAGAGGGCCCTCGCCAGAACCAGCCATGCTGGCACCCTGGTCCCGGCTTCCAGGCTCCAGAAGCGGGAGAAATGACTCTCCTTGACAAGCCACCCGGTCGATGCCATTCTGCTTCACAGCCTGAACTGACTGAGACCCCCCCAACCTCAGAGCTGGCCACTAGTTAAAAGCAACTCTGCTCCTTAAGTGTTGGTCAGCCCTCTTAAGGGGTTGAGTGGACAGGTCTGAAGTCCCCTCCTCACATTCCCAGGGCCGCTGGTCGTCACAAGGGAACCACACAAGCGAAAGATACACTGGGTGAAAAGGTAAACCATCTAGATAACGGAAGTGTCGCATGGACTCTAGAGGCCCGGTGCACAAATTCATGCATGGGTGGGGTCCCTCGGCCTGGCTGGCGATAGGGGCTGATCTGGACCAGCCAGCTGAGGGGAGTGAGTGGGAGGGGACACGGAAGGTTGACTGGCCGTGGGAGGTTGGCTGTGGAAGTGCACTGACCATCGGGGGGCAGCTCCTGCATTGAGAGTCTGCCCCCTGGTGGTCAGTGCAGGCCATAGCGACTGGTTGACCAGTCATTCAGGTCATTCAGTCAAAATGGTCACTTAGGCTTTTATATATATATAGATTACTATATCTACTAATTACGAAAGTAATATTCCCAATTATGTTTTCAAAAGCAATACTTTGCTGCACAAATGCAAAAAATAAAATTGATGAAAGCAATGCACATGTTGTGTTTTTCTCTTATACTTCTTTCACATAATCTTTCAGGACTTATGCAGAGCCAAGTAAATTACTCAGTACAAACAGAATCTAAAAGATATAAAATGAGGCCTGAAGCCTCTTAAGAAATATAACCGTATACTACCCATAAATATTTACATTCATGATAGTCGAATGCAACTTTAAGCCATCAAAACCAAGGACACAAAGGAAGCATTTAGGCTCTCCCACACCCGTTATCTCTGGATAATAGAATAAAATTCTGGTTGCAAGAAATATCAGCATCACTATCTGTTTGATGCAAATCTGCTTGGAATGTCCCTTCAAATGCACTCAAATTACAACAATGACTTAAGAGCTGTACAAGTAGCTGATGCCATGTGTAGGAAAAAGGATTCATGATTCTTGGCTTAACTCTACTAATGACCACTAAGGCAGTGTAGATATTCTGTTGACAAAAAAGGTTTGGATCATATATATCAAGGCAAATAGGCTGACATAAGTAGTGTTACCCAACCCCAATCCCAAATCCATCTAATTCTTTGAAATCTTTGAAGCCAATTAGTTCTATTGAAAACAAAAAACAACTGCTACCAATTTTCACCCCAATGACATTCATAAAAACCTTCTAATTAATATTTTTAAAAAACATTTGAATTTCAAGAATTTAGTTTTTACCTTTCTCTAAGATTTCAGGTTAATTAAATACAATTTTGTTAGAACCAAAATCTGAATTTTTTATAGTTACATAACTGCTGGCCCTTTTGAATTGACCACAGCACTAAGGAGTCGATCGCTAGCCATTCGCAGGAAAAGTGAACGTGCCTTTGTTTCTTGCTGAAACACATTGCACACAATGATGAAGATACTAAGGAATCTACCAAAAAAGTACCAGAACTAGTAAGCGAGTTCAGCAAGGTTTCAAAATACAAGGGCAATATACAAAAACTGGGTGTATTTCTATATATTAACCGAGGATATTTGGAGTCTGAGACTTAAATACCATTTTAATAGACCTGAAACATTTAGGGACAAATTAAACAAAACATGTGCCAGACCTGTACACCGAAAACTACAAAATACTCCTGAGTTGAAAATTAAAGGAGCTCAAAATAACTGAGGAGATAGACCATGTTCATGAATTAGAAGACTCAATATTACTAAGATGTCAATCCTTCTCCAAATTGATCTATGAATTCAATGCAATTCCAATCAAAATCCTAGAGAGCTTTTTTTTTTTTTTTTGGAAACTGATAAGCAGGTTCTAAAACATATACAGAAATAGAAAAAACCTAGAATGACCCAGACAATTTGGGGGGGGGGGGAGTTGGAAGATTCATCTATCAAGACTTATTACAAAGCTGCAGTAATGAAGATAGTGTGGTATTGGAGAACAGACAGACATAGATCACTAAAACAGAACAGGGTCCAGAAACAGAGCCACAAATATATGTTTGACTGAGTTTCAACAAAAGTGCCAAGGCCATTCACTTGAAAAAAAGGATCATCTTTTTAATGCATGGTACTGAAACAACTGTACATCCATACGCAAAAAACACACAAATAAAAAAAATCTTATCCTGCATGTATACAAAAATTAACCTGAGCCCTGGCTGGTGTGCCTCAGTTGGTTGGGCGTCGTCCTGTGTTCGAAAAGGTTGCTGGTTCTGACAGATGTCTCACTCTCACACTGATGTTTCTCTCTCTCTCTCCCTCTTCATTCCGCTCTTTAAAAAAAAAAAAATTTAAAAATCTTTTTTAAAAAATTGTATCAACGAATCATAGACCTAAATGTAAAAAACTCTGAAACTTCTAAAATAAAATTATAGGAGCAAAACTTTCTGACCTTGGGATAGGTAAAGCTTTTCTCAGAACAAAAGCAGCATGAACCATAAAAGAAAAAAATGATAAACTGGACTGCATAAAAATGAAGAGCATTAAGAGCTGCTGCTCTTCCAGAATTGTAAACAAACAAACAATTCAACTTAGAACGTCAGTGAAAAGGTTGGGACAGACACTGCCCAAAAGAAACCATCAGGCGGCCAAAGAGTACATGAAAAAATACCAGCACCTCTGTCACCGGGGAAATGCGAGCTGAGCCGCAATGAGGCGCCACTGCACACCCACCAGAACGGAGTGCGGCGAGGAGAAGAGGCGCTCAGGGTGCTACGTACAGTCCCGTTGGCGCCAGTTCACCATCACTCGTCGCCTCGGCTTCATTTATCCGTCGAAGAAGATTCAGTAAACGAAGCACAGCCATCCCTCTGATTCGGTGTTAGGCTCGAAATATTCATTACCACCTGTTCGTGGTTTGGTCCTCCTCTTCCCAAGAAACACCTTATCTTCGCCTCTGAAGGTCTCCACCTCAGAGACACATAATCAGATGAGTTGTGCCTCAGTTGTAACGCTGTAAGTTGCTAGGCACCCAGCAGTGTGTGAATCAGAAAAGGAATCCACACAGACCTGGAACACAAGCTCGTTTTTAGGGCTGTCTCGTTCTCAAATACGCTGGAGGAAACAGGAACGGATGATAACAAACCTGTTCTTACTACCGTGGTTTACAAACTGGTGTGTCACGGCCACTTCCACGTTGACTCAGCGTCTTCACAACCATAAGGACACGCACCGCAGACCTTTATCATCAAAAGACGACGCTCCCGTAAGAGCAGGGCTGACCTCATGGAAAGGGGACAGGGCAGCCTGGACAGTGGCCAACCCCCCGGCAGGGAGAGAGCCCAAGGGGACTGGGGGCTGGGCGCTGGCCGAGGGCACTCGCTCTGGAGGGACCCCTCTCCGCAGCCAGCCCTGAGGCCCCACGTGGGCCCAGCAATGAGATGAGCTTCCACACACCCAGGTCCTTCACTGGTGACCAGCGGGGACCTGAGAGGACACCCCTGCGACGCCAAAGGGATTTGCGGCAGGTGGGCCAGGTTTCTCAGTCTGCACTCGCAGTCACTTCCAGGCCCCCAGTGCCTGGGACACAGTAGGCACTCAATAAATGTCGGTCACACTGCATTCCCTTTATTATGTAAGGGTATCGCTCAGGCTGAGGCTCCGAAAGGCCACGGATTTACTGCCGTTTTTGTTACCTGCCAACTAGCGAAAGAGCACAAAAGGCTGGGTGGACCCGTAAAACCGAGGTAATGAATAAGTCATTTCTAACAAGGCTGGTTTTACGGGCATCACACCTCCGCGGGGCCAAGTGGGCTCGTTTGAGAGGTGAAACCCGTTCTGCGAGTGTGGGGACAGCGAGAGAGAGAAAGAGAGAGAGCGAGTGAGAGAGAGAGAGAGAGAGAGAAAGAGAGAGAGAGAGAGAGAGAGAGAGAGAGAGACAGCCACCGGCCCTACGGGAGAGGCGCTAACTTCCACTGGCGGCCGGGCCGGGGTTTGGGCTCACATCCGCAGAAGTCTCCAGGGCCTTCATTAAGCCTGCCGGCCTGAACCGCCGCCATCTGTCCTCGTCCAACACAAACAGGCTCCCGGGGCCGAGGACGGGCGTGGGACGCCAAGAAGGCTCTGCGCTGTGAGCCCCGTGCGGGTGGGACACCTGTGGGGCGCCCTG